ACTGTGGTTTTTCTTTTGTTTCCTATCTTGATGGTTCTAGTAGATGGGGAACAAGCCTGTGGGGAACATTAGATATGCACTCCTACTAGAAGTTGTGAATTAAAGTACAGGAAGAGTTGAAAAGGTGAAGAGTTGACTTGGGCTATTCACAGAGAAGCCACTTAACCTAAGAGAGTATTAAATATATGATATTTGAGGTTATTATGGTTTCCAAATTCTTCCTTGAAGCTCCGTTTGCCTCCCAAGCATAAGAAAAAAATCAAATTGGGAAAAATGAATATTTTTGACTAGAGACAATGTTTACTTTTAGGAATGTGCATTCAAAATATTCACCTTTCCCCCACTCAGTTTGCAAATAGGCTTGCAGGTTTGGAGATCCCCCCCCCGCCCCCCTCAAAATACATGAATGTTCACATTGGGGTAGTGAGCTCATTTGATGTTCTGTGAACCCAGTCAAAATTCTCCTGCATCCCTATGGCCCCTGTCCATCAAATCTGGAAACTCCCGCCAATGAAGGTTCATGGAGATTTCATGAGGATTCATCCTCATTCCTCCATCTGACTTCTTTATTCACAATTTCTGGGTTGATTTGTCAACATCACTTATCAGGGACTTTCTTCCTCCTTCTCTGTGGTCCTGTTGTCTCCATTTCCTCCGCTTAATAAAAAAATAACAGATGTATAATGAGAGTACTATTATACAATACAGTACAGTTGACCTTGTGGTTGTGGGAGTAGGCATTAAAGCTCACACCAACATGTTAATGCCATCACTAACTTAGTTGACTGGCTTTTGTATTGATTGGGATGGTGACCAATCCTGGCATTGAAAACCAACAAAACTGCTCAAAACTCAGCCAGGTAGCAATCGCAGTACTATAGGTGTCTACCTGTGGCACTTCTTTTAGTTATGCATGTGGAGATGGGGCGCCACCTGGTGGCAGGAGGATGCTGTCCATTTCTTTGCTGTTGAAAGCAGCACTGTGGCTTTATAGTCACATACACTCTCTGTTCTCCATGTGGTGTAGAGTAGATTAGTGGTGGTGGTGGGGGGATTCTAATGACCCACAGTGAGGAAATGCAGGAAAGAGGAACATTTCATAGCTGGGAATCATGCTGACAATGATTCTCACAAGAGATTGTTGATGGACTATCAAACTGCCTTGCTAACACTTCTGGGACTCCTAGAATCATGCATTACTTTCTTTTTTCAGGACAAGAAGACCACTGCATGTCTTTCACCCTCTAAAGCAATCCATAACTTACTCCTACCAAGAAGAGGCTCTGTTTGGAACTGCATTCTCAAAGTTCTAGGGACAAAGAAAATGAATTAGTAATCTACATATGGGGGGTGTTGTTATTGATGTTATGGGTTTCATTTCTTTTTCTTTGATGCAATGAAATTTCCCCTTACCCCACCACAAATCTGTCACAGGGATTTTTTTAAAGTTTGTGCTACAAATCAGCTGCTTGCCCAAACCAGGTAAGGACTTCCCGCATCTGTCCCCATGCATAGATTTTAATAATGTATTCATACAAACAATTTGACCATGTCTTAAAGTGGGAGGGTTGAAGAGGTTTTTGCTTTGCCCATGAAAGGGAACTGAAAAAAGAGACTGTGGAATCTTATGCAGAAATGTGAAAGCAGCTGTTGCCACACTCACCTCTTGTGGCCCAGGTCTCTCTCCCTCCCCTCTCCCTCTCCCTCTCTCCCTCACACTCACACTCCATGAGGCTACCTGAACCATATTAACAAACATTGCTATCAGGATAATGAGAAATAACAAGAAAAGTGTCTGATGAGCTAGTGAGACTTTTGGCACAGAGCTAGTAAGTTCTTAAGCATAAAAACATCAATGTGGCCTGCACCAGGCATTCAAAGAAATACCAGACACCATGCACACGAAGCATCTTCCAGAAACCCCAAGCCTTTGCAGCCCCTGATCCCAGTGCAATTCTTTCTCACTCCAGTCCCATACCAGCTCTGGTCATTTCCAGGATCATTTAGAGATGGAGGGAAAGATTCTCTGAGAAGTGAGAAAGTAACCTCAAGGGAGAGATGTAGGACTGGTATTGGCCATGTCTGTGAAGAGAACATTGGTCTAGGTTGATTCAGTGCAGCAAGGCAGTGCTTCTCTTCTTTGATATTTCACATAACTACTCTAACACTTCCCCTTTCAGTGAAGCTTTGCTACAGGATATGCATTTATAAAACTTTAGAAGCACAGCAGGTCACACATCATCTGCAGTCTGTAAAATGTTGCTGTGAACCACTCAACATTTTCCTGATATATAACAGAGTATGCCAATTTGGGCACTGCTTAGAAAAAAAAGTGAATAAGAGTATACCTGCTAGAAATGCCGCATGATACTGGAACATGGGGTCATTTAATGAAGTTGGATGGTGGAAGACTGAGGATAGGCAAAAAGAAGTACTTCTTCACATGGTGCATGGCAAAACTACAGAATTTGCTACCACAAGATGGCCACAAATAAAGACAGGCTTAATAGAATGTGATGATTTTTCAGAAAAGTGTTTCATTGTTTTTATGAAACAGGAGGCATTTCTGGTGAAAAGGCATTGAATAGGAATTCCCTCAGTCTGGATATGCTGAATCCAAGTATTTTGTTTACCAAGTAAATCAGAAGGCAAGTAAGGACAATCATATTTGTGAACATATGTGCTAGCATACATCTCATTTGATGCAGAGAGGGGCAGCTAGGGTGAGTGTGTGTGGTCTGTGATTTTGTAAAATGATTTTGTGTGGTGATCTCCCCTCAAAAAAGTGCTCTCTCTGCCCTTCTCCCCCAGCATCCAAGGGGATGGATGATGATTCACTCCATACCTTTTTGCCAGCTCCCAAACAGTTTTGGAGTTTCCCCTTAACCTCTTGGATTCGCTGCACTTTAAATGGGTGCTTGGAGAGCTTTCTAAGGTGACATGCTGTGTTTGGGCAGGGGTATGATAATCTGAAGTACTGAATTTGGGAGGCAGCACCTTCATGGTGGGGTGGGTATAGATCTGCTGCAAGGTCAAAGGAACATAGGCCTCTATCAGTGTAATCTGTGTTTATTTCTACTACCTGTAAACTCAGACATTTGTTAACCATGACATTGAAACTTCAAATACAGTTCTGGCAAGAATCATACATATTACAAACTCAATTTACCAACTGTTCACCAACATGCTGATCTCTTGGGGAATTTGTGCTTGTCTATAAAAGAGGATTAGTCAAGGTAATGGAAAATAAGGCTCTCAAGGGCTGCTAGTCACGATAACTTTATGCTATCTCCACTATATTAGAGGCAGTGCTTTTGAACACCTTTCTGGAGAACATGAGGAAGAGGATGGTATTACTATGTGCAGTTCCAGCTTGTGGGCTTTCTCACAGACATGGTTTGTGTAGGAGCAGACTGCCGGTCTAGGTTTTCCTTTCTTCTGATCCAACAGGGTCCCAATGTTCTTAACTCCAGTCTCTGTGTATGGCTCTGTATGACTTCATTTCCAGCTGTACACACCTAATTATTTTGCCTCCATACTCTGTCATTCTGAACTTCATTTTGCCAGTTCCTTGAACAGCACGTGAGCTTTTATCACATCACTGGAAAATCAGCTTCAAAAAACACACACCTCCACAAATAAGCCACCACAAATATGTCTGAGGTTTGAGTCCATTACTGCTGGCAAAGAACAGTTGTTCAGTTGTTCTTGGTGCACACTCAAGGGTCATGGCAATCTGGATTCTGAAGCAGAGGATGAGGGCGAGGAAGCGGAAGGAGCTTGGGAATGGGAGGTTCGGACTCTGAGATGTTAGAAATGCTGCTTATCTCATGGTCAGTCACACCAAGTCCTCAGAAGGCTCTTAGAATAGCCAAGATGCACAGTTGCCAGGCGGGGGCATGAAAGAGGGGTTCTCAGAGTCAGATGGATCTGGTATGACTCTTGACCCAACAATGTGGTGTTGGGAAAGGAGGGAATGCCAGCTAGAGGATAGACATATAGAAAGGAGGCAGGCTTGCTTCTAAACAGGCCCTTCAGAAAGGATTGGGCCTGGACATACTACAAAAGGAGGGTTTCTGGAAATAGTTGTTTAGACTGAGTTCAACAAATTGCTCTGTGCATGCACAGGGATACATTCTGTGAGGGTTACATTGCTTGGGTATTCTTTGGTGAATAAAGAGCTTTTGCAAAGAACAGTCCGTTAGTTTGAATGTGCAAAGGGAAGAAACCGGAACATGACAATAACTGCAATGAGTCTTAAAGCATTGAAAAATAGGTAAAAAAATAAAATGCCCATTTCACCAAGCTGTCATATTTTGAAGGTCTAACAACTTCCCATTTTGGACAACACAGAATAAGGGCCACTGACCATGTAATTGATGTGTGTCTCATTCAAATTACATTATATTACCTCTAATGAAAATGTGCAGGCTTCTGTCTCTTGATGAATTATCTCCAGTATGAGCTTTAGTGATGAAAAATGTCTCTGTGTAAACATTCACTCACTATTTCTGTCCCATTCGATTTATAATTGCTCATTTCCACTTGCAGGCAGTGTCAAATATTTTTAGCACAGTTCTGTGCAAATTTAAACAGAAAGAAGGCTGAGACATGCTGGGAGTTGCAGGCCTTTTTATGTGTAAACATGTCAGATTAATTAATTAATTAATTAATTAAGATTGTTGAATTAATTAACTCAACAAGGTCTACTAAATGAGTTATAGAATACAGAAATTAGAACAAAAGTATTTGTGAGCTCTAAGCAATAGTTTTATTTCCTTAGGCATTCTTCATTTCTAGCTTCCCCATCCTTAAAGACACAGAAGAGGAACGCCATAATATATCCAAGTCAGTTGCTTCCTTTTGTCAGAGTCACAGCCAAGACTCTGTGTTGCCAGAAAGATTACTTCAGCTCCATGGGAAATAACAAATTTACTTCCATTTGCAGTGAAGCAAACTTCTAGTACCTGTTTCCTCCTTCTGAGGTCAAAGGTATTTATATAATGTTGGAGGCAGTGTCTGCTAATATCAGTCCTTTTAAAACAATTGTTATGGTACCTCTTTACCAATGAAGTCTTCCTGAGTAGTCTTGGTGGTCACCAGCATAGTTGCACCCAGTTCAGTTGCCGGCACTGGAATGGTGTTTTTTAAATCACAGGCAGAGAGAGAAGCTGCTTCAGTGACATCACTTCCATCAATAGCAGTATAATGCATATTCCTTATTAAGATGTTGTGTTTGGCAGTGTCTGAAGTACCAATTGAATCTGGGCCTTGGGCTGGTTTAGAATCATCATTTCCTGGCAGACAGCTGTGGCCTTTGTGAGCTTCGTTTTCAATGCAAATGATGACGTTCTCATTTTCTAAAATATAAACAACCAAATGGGCAACATACATATAGTAACAAGGTATAGGTTGAAGGGGCTTGGGGCTGAAGATACCATTTTCTGTCCCCTCTTCTTCCTTTTCAGAACACATGTGAGACAAGAATACCTGTACCTGCTTAGGCTTTTGGGGGGTCCCTTTCCAGGTGCCCTGCTAAAGAAAGCTAGACAGTGGCTAGAAAAAAAGAAGGTATTCTCAGTTGTGGCAACCCACTTATGGAATGAACGTCCCCAAAGAGTTCACCTGGCACCTATATCATTATCTTTTCAGCACTAGACAAGGAGCTTTCTTTTCTCCCAGACATTTTAGAAACCTAGCACTAGATTTGTATAGCTGTTTTAATGATTCTTATGCTGTCTGTTATTTTGTAGTGTAATGTATTTCTTAAAATGTATTTGCATTGTATTTTACATTTTTAACTGGCATTTTAGTCTTTTATCTGATTGTAATCTGCCCAGAGAACACTGGCTATTGGGTGGATTAGTAATGTAATAATTAACTAAATAACAGAAAACAAGTTCTCCCTAGGGTATGCCCTTGGGAAAGATCACTTCGTGTTCAGTCACTATTCACCCACTCCCAGGACCTGAAATATGTAGCTAGTCATCAGTTCCAAGGTATGATGAGAGAACAAGAAAAGCATGACTTGCTTATGTGGAGTATAGAATGTAGAATGATATATGAACAATGGATTGAAATATAAGAGTGGTCTGCATCCTTAAGCCAGGTAAGAATTCTTAGCTACTCCATTTCTCATATTTACCAGGTTTTCTACAACCTTTGGAGGTCTGTTCAGGACAAAAACATACCTGTCTGTTAGCAATTAGTCACCAAATATGTATTTTCCTTCCTACCTACCCTCTACCTGTAGGCAGGCTACAGCCTGGCATGGTCTTCAGCTTCGGCTACATGGGGGAGAGAAGAACCCCAAGGAATAACTCTGAAGTAGGTCCCCTTTTAGTACGCTGCAGGAAGAGGGCATTTTCTAACTCCTAAAATATTCAGAAAGGTGACTTTGATATTGGAAACAGGATACAGAGGGATGTGTGAGACCAGCCAGAGCAACTTGACTAATGGTGAAGGATTTTGGAATAGTGCAATTCTCTGCACTATTCATCTCTGCAATAGTGACAGGTATAATTATTAATTGCATTTCTATACACATGCTCACATGTGCTGAGAAAAATCTGTGTTTTTTAAAAAATCTGCTCACAACAGAACTAAACTTCCCAGGGTATCGCAGAAAGATGGAATGGCTAATAACTTATGTAACTATAAATGTAGCTATGCAGGTTAATGAGCACAAACCAAGGTGCTTTACAGCAGGACGGTGTGGAAGCCATTTCATCTGGGCCAGGTAAGCTAACCATGTGTGTATGCATAACCGAACATGCAATCTAGTTGGCAGGTTCACATATCACAAAATGCCACTGTGGGTTGTTTGTTAAGCAAAGATTGTGACAAGTGATCTGGCTGTTCCTGGCAAGCGATGATAAAATTGCCCTGCCACAACTGGCCAGCCTGGATAAACCATAAAAGAACTGCAAACAAGCCATGGCTTCTCGGGGTGGGTCGTTTGTGAAAAAAGAAGGCACTTGGCCAAAACTTTTCAAGGTAAGCATGACACAGCAACCCAGTGAATATCCATGGTGGGTTGCATTGGGCAAACCAGGTCAATGTCAGCAACAGTGTATGCACACTTATTTGGACTGTTTATATAGATTTGGATATCTGCTATATCTGCCAATATATATCTCACAGATTGACACGGGCTGTTATTAGCATTTTCTTCTCCCTCAGTTTCTAAGCACACTTCCTCCTTTCCTCTCATTCTATTCCTTCCTGTTTGCATGGTAAGTTATTTAACCATGAATGAAAAAAAAAATAGACCAGTGTGATGTAGTTAGTGTTGGACTGGGATTCAGGCGACCCAGATTCTATTCCCTGCTTGGCTCAATTGATGCTCAGTCTAACCTACCTTACATGATTGTTATGTGGATAAAATTTTATTGTTTTTTATTATTATCTATTATCTATATCCTGCTTTTTGCCTGTTGCAAGGAACACAAAGCAGCTAAAAAGGAGAGGAAGAGGACCATATAAGACCTGGAAAAATATAATGTATGTGAGCGTGCGTGCGTGCGTGCAAGAATCAGTGAAAAATGTTGAACACTGGCAATCTCAGTCTGTTATGGCAGAATAGCTGTGATATTTTTACACTACCACCACCAGTTATTGTCGATAGATAAAGACCAATTGGCCCTGCTTTCAGACCTTTGCATGCAATCATCTCCGACTGTGCCACTGGTGGTGTGCATGAGGCAGGGAAACTGTGGCCTCCAGATGTTATTTTACTACAGCTCCCATCATGATGACTGGCCTTAGTTGGAGTCCAAGGAAGCTGAAGAGCTGCAGATTCTCCAATCCTGGACTAGAGAATTTAATGAATTACAATCTATTATTTAGCTATTTATTTTATTTAATTTCCAGTTTTGAAACTGCCCAATAGCCAATGCTCTCTGGGAAGTTTACAGCAATGCATTATTATCAGGAAAAGTACAAATACCTACCTTTAGGATCCTCTTCATCAGATTTTCTCACCCTCTTCCTTCTCTTCTGTTTCAGCCTTGTTACAAACAAAAACACTGTCGTGACCAGAACTATCCCCAGAAAAACATAGACAGCTAAGGTTATTCCCAAACAAGCCTGGTCTACTTCAAGAAGTGCTGGTGCTTGCGGTGTCATGGTGGTCACTCTGAGGATGGCGACTGTGAAGGGAAACAGGTTGAGCATGATCAATAGAGGGTGAGAGTGGGGCAGCATTACATTCTGGACAACTGTTGTATCTGGGTTATCTCAGCATTAGGACAGAAATAGCCAGCAGACAGACAGACCGAGCTCTCTCTCAAAGGTGCTTTGGGAAGGGTTCATAGCTCCTTTCCATATCACACTACCCCTTTATCCTCACCACGACTCTGTGAGACAGCTTAACCAAAGAGGATATGACTGGCTTGGAGGAAACCAGGCATCTTCATGGCAGAGTATGGATTTGAACTTGGGCCTGCCAAGCCTAGATCAGCACTCTAGCCCAGTGTTCCCTGACTTGTCCCTCCAGATTTGTCAACCTGCAGTTCGCATCAACCCCAGCCAGCAGGGCCAAGGGTGGGCAAGCCTGCTCTGCACACTGACAGTGAAAGTGTACCTCTTCCCCCTTTTAAACTCTTCATAGAAGGCCCTTTTGTGAGTGTCCCACCAGCCAAATAACAACAGGTGGCTGGTAAATTGGGGGCTTTTGGTGTACCACCTCTGTGAAGCCCTGCCTGAGGAAGCCACTTCCCCTCCCTTCAGGAAACAAAATAGCTGATTTATCCAGTAATCTTTACTATGCAACCCCCTTTGCTCAAACATGGCACTCAGAACAGTTTATAACGACAAACAAACATCAAAAACATGAAAGAATTTAGAAGGAAACCCCAGGATAGCAAAGTGCTACAAAAATCCAACAGCACAATACACTGTCACATCACTAATAGTGCTATAAAAACTGTGCTCAGAAATGCTCCATCTTTTCTTGCTGCCTACCCCACAGAGGGAGCTCCCCTGAAGGTGAAACAATGTCTGGACATGACGACTGAAAAAGCCAAATCATGAAAACCTCACCCAATTGAGGAGAGCCGGGGACTTTGTCCTTGCACAGCTACAGCCTTTCTCTCCATGCAGAGTCAGTCCTATTGGCCTCTCTTACAGGGTTATTCTTAACTAAGATGACTGAATAATGCACCCGAACTACTTAAGGAAAAGAAGCATCGATCAGGCTTATGTGACCTGTTAGGGCCATGGGCGCATTTGGCAATGGGAGAAACTGTCCTGGGCACCATCACAAAATGGATGCTATGGAACGCTTGACAAAGGATGAGTGCACCAGCCCAGAGACTGTGTACAAGAAAGAAGGGGTCTCTGAGCCCCAACATTCTAAATGCCTTTGAGCCCAGGTGTCACCACCAGAGCATTTTGTAGCAATCCCTCCCAGCTGCTGGTGGGAACGGTAAAGCAACTCAGCTGGCACTAGGAAGATGTCTGTGGGAGCACCAGAGTCCAGAGTCACCACATTGCCTGACCCTGCTATAAATGCATTCAGCACACATGAAGGCTGCAAGCAGCATGGCAGCTATTTACAGCATGCTTTGCTCTTTCCCCTCCACGTACTCTGTAACAAATACAAGGCAGCAGGCTTCGCATGGGTGCCACAGCCTGCACATGGGAAGGTGCAACACTGGCTTGCAAAACGTCATAAGCATAATTCAACCCTCCTTTTCCCTGGGACAGTGTCCCACATGTTCAGTTGTGTAGATAGCCTGAAATTGCAGGAATGGGATAGATTCATGTGGATTTATGCTCACTCCTAGGCACAACAGCCTTGGGAATAAGTCTTTCTTATTTAACTCCTATTTCACAGATAAAATGGGACCCCAAAAAGAACAAATTGCCAAAGTAGTGATTTGAAACAGCTAGGCCTCCTAAGAGCAGCACTGGTACTCTTCTGTGCTTTTCCTGCCTTTGTTCATCCAACCTGAGCACTGGAAACAGCATACTGTTATTGAATCTGATTGCATCCTCCCTTATTCCTAGAGTTCTCTTCCCTCCACACCCTTCCAAACACCCAAGGAAGTTGATTTTCTTCCTTACTTCGCTCCTTTGCGGTGCCTCTTTGCATTGCTTCACAGCTTACACATTGTTCAATGAGACGGTCATAGCAGAAGCTGATGTGGTGGCAAGTGGTGTTATTTACACTTAAGTTGGTCCTGGAGCCCTTGCTTCTGTCCGCACAAGGTCTACATTGTTTGATCGGGTGGTCATAGCAAAGGCCAAGATGAGAGCAGATGGAGTCGCTGCTGGACTGGCTGGCTCTTTTCTTCTTCATGGTTCATCACCTTTACCAAAAAATCAAGACAAGAAACAGATGATACAGAGAGCAGATGATACAAACGCCATCGGAGTGAGGACCTGCTGAGCCTCTGCAGATTCAGCATTACTCCCTTGAAGTCTCACTTCCTCCAGGAAGTGTTTTATCAAGGCGGGGAGGTGGGGGGGAGGGGAACTTGCCCTGGTAACTTCCCCTTGTTCTGTAACTCTCCTCCCATTTTCACGTGTGCTGCTTGTATGGCTAAAATGATGAACCTGATACTATTCATTCTGGCCCCTACACTTGCCACATTTTGTGTTGCTGGACCCTGTTGTGAGATACATAGCACTGGTCAGTTAATTTGTCTATGTGCTAAGCTCTGCAGCTGGGAGCTCACAGGAAGGAATTCATTAATATGAGTGGCGTTACACCTAGTGAGATCACCACACTGGTAGAAAGAGCTTTCCCAAACATGTATGTAATGCTAACACACATGGTGCTAATTTGCTTTGCATGATCCAGGTGTCTTTCTTCAAGAACTATTGCATGTTCCCAGCATTTCAACAACAATTCATTGGTGCTGGGAAACTGCAATTCTTCTTTCTGCTGCCCATTGGGATCTGGTGTCCTTTGCCCTGGAATGAGGTTGTACAAATGTCTGGGGTGGCTATTGGATCATGCCAGCTTCATTCATACTTAGTAAGACAATGCAATTACCCTCCACTGTTTCCCCTCTTACTAATTTTGGAGCATAGTTTCTGATAGGACTTAAACTAGTTTCTCAAGGCAATACATACAGAGAGGCCCACTGACGGTTTCTCACACCTGCCACAAAAAGGCTTCTAGTTTTTGCTTTGAGACTTTAGCTATCCTTGCTGAAAAGTGGGGTAACCACACTTGGACCTTAGTCAAGTGAGTTTCAGCTTCCTTGTGAATCCCCTGCTTTGCACATTTCTCATTGATTATGTCATGTAGTCAACTGAATAGATGAACCAGCAATGCCATTATTCTGCTCTGCATCGAGACGATTCACCGCTATTATTCCCATCATTTATGTATGGAATAGATAGCACAATCTCTTCTTTGATAGCGAACTAGGAGGATTCTATCATGGTGGTTCTTCATAGTGATTTGAGTAATTTTTTATATCACAGATGTGATGAAAAGTTCACATTAGGTAGACAGGATGCCAACAGTGCCAGCCAAGACAAAGGTTTCAAATAAGAATTTTAGTTAATTGCACTGATAAAGATTTTTCCCCTATTCCTCTTGACAGTTTTGAAGTCATGCAGTTTTATGAAGATCTTAAGTGTAAACTTCTCAAAATTTTAAACTTCCCAGCAGTGCTAGCACAGACACTGTTAGGAATTGTAGGATTATTTTCTCTAAATGTGCATAGAATTGCACTTTAAATATCTTTAAACAGGTAGCAGCCTTACTCATTACCACTTCTGTCGAAGATAGATTTATAAAATAAGGAATATGATCAATCAAATCAATATGTTTTATGAACTAGAGGCATGATAAGTAATCATAAAATGATTCATTTCTATGTCAAACAGCACTGGAACAATCCCCCTCCCCAATTTGTGTAATTCATTTTTCTCACAGTAAGATTGAAGAATTTGGTTTTATGTCGGTGATTTTTGAACATAAGAACTTAAAGAAGAGCTGTACTGGATCAGATGAAGTTTCTATCTAGTTTGCGACTCTGTTTACACAGTGACCCATCAGCTGCCCACAAGAAACCCACAAGCAGGACCTGAGTACAATAGCCTTACCTGTGATTCAATTAGACGCCATTAAATCTTTCTGTACCGGAGTATGACCAAGTAGAATCATATAATCTGGATACAGATTCCCATGGACAAGCTATTTGGGGCCATGAGTTCAACTTATTCGTCCTTCTAATTCTCTATTTCCCCTTGTCTTGCCACACCAGTCTAGGCAAGATGTCTGACATGCTTCCTCCTGAAACATTTTGAATCTTAGTCATATCTTGATGCACCTTGTCTGATAACTTACCTTCTTTCCTCACTGCCTTTCCTAGTCTTGCCACAGTGTGTTAAATTCAGTGTTCCTGAGTGGAAGTAAAATTCACCATCCAGAAAACAGGGAGCAGATTTTTGGAATTCTACAGCACTCTTGATTCTAAGATTCATATTACTGGAAAACTCTCACCAAAGTCTCCTGGGTAAACTAAGCAGTCATGGAATAAGGGGGTCCTCTTATGGATCATCAGCTGGTTAAAGAACAGAAGAGAGGAGGTGGGAATAAATGGCAATTTCTCCCAATGGAGAGATGTCACTAGTGGAGTCCCACAGAGTTCTGTATTCAGACTAATGCCTTTCAGCCTATTCATAAATGACCTGGAATTAGGATTAAGCAGTGAAGTAACCAAGTTTGCTAATAACAGAAAGCTGTTTAGGGTGGTTAAAACCAAAAGGGATTGTGAGAAGCTCCAAAGGGATCCCACCAAGCTGGGGGAATGGACATCAAAATGGCAAATGCAGTTCAATATACACTAATTTAGGTAATGCATGCTGGGGCAAATAATCCCAACTTCAGGTATAGGCTGATGGGATCTGAACTAGCAGTGACTGAGCAAGGAAAAGATCTTGGGGCTGTGTGGACAGATGAAAATGTTGCCCCAGTGCTTTGCTGCTGTGAAGAAGGCAAACTCCTTTGCCAGACATAATTAGGAGCTGAACAGAAAATATAACCTCCATAATCTTACTTCTCGTATACAAATCTTTAGTGCTTGGAATATTGTGTTCAGTTCTGGTTGCCTTACCTGGAAAAGAACATTATTTTGTTGGGAAAAATACAAAGAAGAGATACAAAATGATCAGACAGCTGGAGAAGCTCTGCTATGATTAGTGGCTATGACAACTGGGACTGTTTAGCTTAGGAAAAAGTGCAAGTAAAGGGAGACATAATAAAGGTTTTTAAAATAATGCACAGGGTGGAGCAAGTAGATAGGAAGACATTTTTCTCCCTCTTCCATAACACTTGAAGCTGGGAGTCTTCCAATGAAGCTCACTGGGGGGAAATTTAGGACAGATAAAACAAAGTACTTCTTCACACAGGGTATAAACTATAGAATTTGCTTTCATGAAAAGTAGAGTCTGGGTGGCTTTAAAAGGGGATTGGAAAGATTCACAAGGGAGGAGGCTGAAGTTTAAGAATTAAAATTGGAAGCACACCCTGCTTTAACTGGAGTGTGTCATAATTGATTGATTGATTGATTGATTTATATCCTGCCTTTTTCCTACAAAGGGCTCAAGGCAGCTTACATCTCCTCCTCTATCTTATCCCCACAACAACCCTGTGAGGTAGATTGGGCTGAGAGTCTGTGACTGGCCCAGAGTCACCCAGTTGGCTCCATGGCCGAGCGGGGACTCGAACCCAGATCGTCTGAGTCCCAGTCCCACGCTCTTAACCACTACACCACACTGGATGAGTTTCAGTCATCATTATTTGTTCATTCTTTTTTATTTCATTTCTATACAGTTGAATAACTGGAACTCTCTGGGTGCTTCACAATTGATTCAATGATTAGTATAACAAAAAGCTGTATATGTGTCATCTTCATCATCTTAAAAAAATGACAACTTGTAGGACTTCTTCTTGCCTACATTTGGATTGTGCCCTTAATCTTTCCCCTTCCAACCCGTTTCGTTTCATGTAAGATTTCAGCCAAACTATATCCCATGGGTTTCTCTCTCTCTCTCTGTTTCTACCAGTCTTTTGTATCTTACTCTGATGACCTTTCTTTCCATCATCAAGGTATTTTCCTAACCAAGCTGAATCATCTAATGACTCAGTTATTCCATGCTAGTATTGGTCAGCTCATGTCAATGCATTCCTGTTTTTCGAATGTGACTGATATGAACTCCCCTCACTTGTTTTCCTTTCCTCTACCCGTCCTTGTGCACACCCTCCAAGTCTATAGGTTTCATGTATGATAAGAATGGCCAGGAATTGGCCTACTCTTTCATGGCATGTCCCAATCATTTAAGCAGACAACTGTTCAATTAGTATACTTTCCCACTTGTATTGATTGAAAAGAGTTCTGCTTCTGTAGTTTCCTGTAATTCAGTGTGTATCCAGCCTATGCAGTCTGCAAAGGCATCACATCCTTCTGCACTTCAATCATGAATGGGCATGATACTGCAGCAACTGGGCAGCATCCTAGTAACTGATTCTAACATAAATTACATAGCACTAGCATAAGCTACCTCCAATGCAATGCCAGCAGTATTTGCTGGCACAACAGGTTTCCTCAGAAAAGCAGCCATGCCAGCAAATATGATTGGTCTTGCACTACATATAGCTTTGTTGCTTTATGTGTTGTCCTCTTCAACTTATGGCGGCCCTATGCACGCATGCCTTCAAAAAGGCCCTCCTGTCCTTGACAGTTCTGCTCAGCTCTTGGAAACTCAAAGCCATGGCTTCCTTTATAGAGTCAAACGGTCTCAGATCTAGTCTTCCTTTTCTTCTGACCACAGCTTTCCTGGGTATGATTGACTTCTCCAGTGATTCTTGCCTTCTTATGATTTGCCCACATTTTCATCTTTTTTGCTCTCAACATGTAGCTTACACTGGTGCAATGTGACTTATGTTATTGCATCAAACCCGAAGGCACCAAAATATCCCAGGAAGCAGTAGAAATATCTGGAATGATTTGTGGAAATGTTACTGGAGCAGAGGAATTGTCTTCATATATGCTCACTTTCTTGCTACATTTCTTGTTTAATTTTAAGTTTATAACATAGTTTACAGAGGAAGAATAATAAATAGCATTTTCCACAGAGCCCAGCTAATTGCACATGGAAGGAAAACAATCAACTGGATATGGGTACATTTGTCCCCTTGTTTAATAGCTTTTAGTCAAAAAAACAAAAGTTTCTGCTGGAACTATTGTTCAGAATACCACTAATAACAGTCCAGCCTCAGTAACTTGCTGTTCCAAAGCATGAAGCCAGGCAGGTCGGCTGCCTTCCATTTTCGCTCCAGCTGTCTCCTTTAATTTATGCATCCTGCCCTGCCAAGTGAACTTTCCC